GCAAAAACCAAAAACACCAGTTCGAGTCATATGGTTACAAATTTGTCAGGGGAAACACTGGGACAATTAAAAACCGCAACTGCCCGGACTGACATGTATCACATCGATTTTAAGTTAAATCTGTAGTCTAAGTTACCTACAGTAAAGCTACGGCTTGTCTGTTCAAATCAGACGTCTAAAAAATTAAGAATCGATCGTCCTTCCTGTTACTGTAGACGCCTGCGGCACGTACTGTATTTAGTCGTTCATATAAATGATTTCGACTGAATTATACTGAACAATATAAGACGCCAATACGGAAGGAGAGGGTAAGGATAGGGACACGGAAGAATTTGATTTGACTAGCTCGACCTTCCAGATGCTCCCACGGTTCTTGGCGGGTTTTCGTGCAGAAGCTGGTATTAAATCATTTCGAGAGTCTAAAATGTAGAGGTCTAAAATGTAGAGGTCTAAAATGTCCCTGAAAAACGCGTCTGCATTCTTTAGTGGCAGACAGCCGCGCTGTACGTCGACACATCCTCGGACGAGAAGAATTTTCGTAACCATGAAGTTGCGCGCTGTATAAAACAAACTTTTTTAATTGATGAAGCCTTGCCTCCAACTAAAAATTGCTTTGGGCTCGAACCTGAAGATAAGCGCCCGAGACACAAATTTTTGTGGTCGACCCCGAAGTTCTAATGAATGGGCTGGATTTTCCTCGAATCGAATTTTATTATCACCGGCTTTGCGTCTTTAATCTGACGGCGTTCCCCTTTGAATGCAATATCTGTTTTGTGGGGAGTTATAAACGCTGTTAGGCGAAGGAATCAGGGAATAAGGAAAATGTCTCTATAAGGCTGTTAATGCGGTTTGGATTTTAACTGCGTCTTCGAAGGATTACCGGACGTCGACTCGTGACTGAAACAGAGCAGAGATTTTTATGCAAGTCTATTCTTAGAAGTAACTGAACGAAAACTTATTTAACCGAAGTAAACGGGTTTTTGACAAGGAATAGGTGGCTGAAAGCACAGAATTTCAAGTGCGTTTCATGACTTTCCGTAGCCAAAAAAGTTCTTAGCATTAAAAAATCCAAACGTCGTAAGATCACTGATTAGGAACAATCTGGCTACAAGGCGAAGTTGCCTCTGTTCAGTGATTCCCAAAAGCTCAGAAGAGTGATACGTATGCCAACCAACAATTTCAAAGAAAGTGGTCGCGATGTGAGAGCGGAAAAGCTAACCTAGCATTGTGGAAACTACGATAAATCAGACTTCCTTAAAGAATGGTCGGGTTCTTGACTAAGCCATGACGTTTTCTGGCGATTCCCTTCCATACGGCGATCGAAGACTTTCCACTTAACCAAAACCCAGCGCTGAAATGGACACAAATCCCAGAGTGCAAGAACAGCAGGGCGCTGCGAACTGTTTGTTGAATTACGGCCGCCGCAGATCCTCAAAGCACGCCACACCGAAAGCGTTTCGGACAACGATTACATCTTAGCTCGAATGACTCACCATTTGGGACGCCGAATGCTCATCGTCCTCGTGAAACTGTAACTCAATACTCGTTAATGGCGATGGACCAGAAATTGCACAAATTTAGACTCCAGGGCCATCGCTTCCCAACCTTGTCCGAGGACCTTTCATCAAAAGACTATCACTACGTTAGATGCATCAATAGCATTTTGCGGGATTAAATTTTCGGTTACTAGAGACTACAACGGAAGAAACATTTAGAAAGCCTATTAACCCTATGAAAACCTTTTACCCATGTAGAAAAATCACCAACTGAATGCATCTCTGGTGGAAATAAGTTCACTTCAATGCTCTGTAATTTGTCTAGCGAATTCATGCTTATTAAAATCCGTTTCTTTAGGGATCTTCCAAAAGCCGATATTTGCTTCAGGACAGCACAGTAAAAAGACGTCGCCATGTGACAGAATGCGTGAGAAAAATAATATTTTCTTGGGTAAGTAATTTTCCCCTAGCACCCATCCGGCCACTCGAGCTGTTTGATATTTAATCAGCACTTCCAGGAGTGAAATTCATCAAATTTGTAGTCCTGCTCGTGTGTGTGTGTGCTAGAATTTCGATGACTTCTTGATGATCAGAGGGCCTTAAATCTGTGGTACCCAACAATGGAGATTTGGGCTTTTGTCTTGGTAACAATGCCAGTTTGCAAACATATTTCATGAAGTAAAGGTTTCCGTGATTAGTTATGGAAGTTATAGACCCTGGGGATGGCGACGCAATACATTGGAATGAAGTAGCGTTTTAAAATCGGATTAACTCGCAGTACAGCAATAACTGACTTTCTTGCCCTTCATCTTAAACTGTGTGATAGAAAAAGGCGGCGCGATCACTGATATTTATCCAGCAGAACGATCTTGTTCAAACAAGAAACCATTCGTCGCCAAAGTCTTTTGAGGAAGTATTTTCTCGTCTCCTCTTCGGTAAGGATAGGGTAAAGGCCCACAAAAATCTACGACATACAAGGGATGCCTACTATAATGTCTAAGTAGGCCGTGTTTTATTCATTACTCCTCCAAAAATGGAGTTTGCTCTCGGACGTTGCATAACCTGCCATGACCCTGGCTTCAGTCCTTCATCGTGGACGTTGCTCTTCGCCTTGCCATTACCTACGTTGGCTGTGCTGAGATATTTCAGAAAGCATCGTGTCGATTGGGTCGTTCATCGTGGACCCTGGTTCATACAATTGGGAAGCGATCGCTGGACTTCACTCCTACAACGTGAACGTTGTTCTTCGTCTTACCATCATCTACCATTGGCTATGAATCGTCCCGTACGTCACCTTTCCTTTGCGTTTGCTACGAATGACCACTCCTCACAGACTTAGATGCGACAGGGCTGGTTAGTCAGTTCATCTTAGAGGTTGTTCATTATCTTATCATTACCTGTCATGACCGCCGATCACACACTTGAGAGAAGACCGTATTGTTCCCGTAGTCGACCATTACAGCCTATTCAGAACAAACTATTCCGCCAGATAACGCATTTGGATCTCTAGTGATTCCGGTTTAACTACCGAAGCATTTTTATATCTACTGCATTCATTGACTAAGATCATACACAACAAACCGAAGGAGTTTGCTTGTTACTTACGTTTTTTTGATTTCTATTTTAAGAGCTGAGTTGGTCAGATATCATTTGCATAGCGTACACTGACAGTTACTAAATTTCAGTGCGATTGGCCCCATTTCATACTTTTTCATTCATTCTCATTGGTTGGACTTGCCCTGCTTACCTGTCCCGATGTCAACTATTGATTGGCGGTCAACTTAAATTGGCTTATCCTTTAAACGTCACTTATTGTTCATTTTTTAATTGTCCCGGTTCGTTTTCGTTGCTATATGTCAGCGTAATAAAAGGTTTACGGCACAAAATCAAATATCTCACATAATTTCCTTATTTTTTCATTTTGGAGTCCACCCATATGTCCCACCCGTATAACCCCCATTATCACCTTACCGGTAAGACAGGTGCCTGTAGCTAGTCACTGATACTTGGGGGCCTTTGGCCTACCATTGCCCTTCCAGCCAAAATCTACAAGTACAACAGCCAATGACTCAGGAAAAAGCTTATTACACTATTCCAGGAGATATGGCTTCAGGGACATATCTCCCAAGACTTCAAGGGGACACAATCATGCACCCCTACAAATGCGAGGTGAACCGAAAGCTATGCGTTAATCACAGAAGTATCCCCTTCTTAGTATAGTAAGAAATATCTTCGTCCGTGTTCTACCCAATCGCCTGAATGCGTATCGGGAACAGGGACTTCTTCCAGAGAAGTTGTACGTATTCCGAAAAAACCGCAGAACCGCAGACATGATCTCCACGGCCCCCCTGCTGCAGGAAAAATGTCAGGAAATGAGAACCAATCTTTACATCAACTATTTTGATCTGACGAAGACTTTTTATGGTGAATTACAGCGAACTCTGGAAAATCGTGCTTAAATTCGGATTTCCTGGCCATTTGCTCAAATGTTATGACAACTTCACGACAGGGCGATGACTGGCGTCGCAGACAACGGGACAATATCTGAACCATTCGCGCTGGCCAATAGGGTGAGACAGGGCTGCGTTCTCGCGCCCACCCTATTCAGTCTCTTATTCTCCGCCGTGCCGATAGATACATACCGTGAAGAGCCGTCGGCGATCGGTAGCAACTACTGAGAAGACGGAAAACTGCCCGCCATCCGTCTTCTAATGGCATCCTCGGGGGTATCCAAGGCAGGCTTTCACGACCTATTGTTCGCGAGTGATTGCCCGCTAAACATCACAACGGAAGAGAACATTCAACGGAGTGTGTTTGGTCATTTACGAAACCATCACACTGAGACCAACGAACCAGTGCCAAGAGCCACGATATGCACCCATCGTTCCCGTCTCACCTGCCAACAGTGCCCCAATGCATTCGACTATATGCCCCCTCATGAAAGTCTTAAGTGAAAAACTGCAGTCCAGGCGCCATCCTCATACTCCGCCTTACCTGTTCACATATCTGCCTGGGCTATATGTCTACATGTAAGAAGTGTTGTTTCCACAAGGCACACCCGATTTTTTGGTGATATGCGAAACATTTTGGCAGTTAAATAAAGGCTTTTGAATTTTATGATGCCACAAAATACTACCTTTGCGAAAATCACATCTCAGACTTCAACATATCAACGTTTATAAAGTTAAATGTCTCACAAGACGTAACAGTTTACAGATATCGTGGGTCGTACATGGGATGGGATAAAAACGCAAAATCTCGTTTCTTGAGCGAAAAATTTCATGAGGCTGCGCAGGGTAAACCGTGTTTAACGACTTATCAAGCATTTAATCATGATACAAAAACAATAAAAGCATGCTGAGGACAACATGTTTGGACACAGGGTGTAGGCATCCTTTAATACAGGTGACCTTGAACAGAATTCCAGGGGGTACCTGCTGCCGTGTCCTAACTTTAACTTTAACCTAATTACTAATTCCAACTCTAACTCCAAAGCTTACCCTTATGATCATAATCCTAGCACTCCTAACCCCAATCCTAACACTAGCCCTAACTCCCTGGATTTCGCCGTAAGACCACCTTTAATACGGGCTCTTCCAAGTTCCCGTACCCTATTGACAACTTTTAAAGAATCCGGGACGAAACGGAAAACAGATGTTTAGATCAACGCCTTCATTCTATTTTTAAAAAGGGTAAGTTTTGGTGAGTTTTTTTTGTGGCACATCTTCCTGCTGTTTCTTATGCACGTAACGAAATAAACGGGAGGAAGGCACACATTGGACCTTACGGAAACTACAATTAGGGGGACATTTACGCGGTGTGACCTGCAACGAAAAACGATCGCCAGAAACATCAACGTCGCTAAAATGTTTAAATTATGCATCACTTTGCCTTATGACATTCGTGTTAAGCGAGCCAAGTGGTTCAACGGCGTTATTTGGGGGCCTCCAAGATGTGCGGCTAAGTATACTACCTCAGTCCGTTGGCCATATTACTGACTTTAACGCTGGTGCAGTCTAAAATGCAGCTGTCATGGGCGCGCGCCAAGATTAATATGCTATTACAGTTGGTGAAATATGGCCGAATAAACGAAAAATCACTAATCGGAAGAGTTGCCATATGAATATTGATATGTTGCCAAACTGTTAGTGTTTTGCCTGCTACGTTTCTAAAATGCATATAAGCAAAAACTAGACCGCACAGAAAGTATCTTCCTACATGTACAAAATTTAAAATTACCATTCGCTGATGGACATTTATGTAGATGATTGCTCTTAGTGAATTCGCAAATGGCAAGACAATATCGGTATTTTTAAACAAAGAACTACCTGAAAGTGTACTCACTGCACTTCAGGGCAGCAAATCACAAAGATTTATAAACCGGACTTAAAAAGACGAATGAGCAGTCTGGTCTTCTGAAAGTAGCCTGTTTTTCATAATGGCACGACTCACGCCGGGCAAGAAATCAAATTTTAAGTGCCGCAAGTTTTGTTTAGTAAAACTCTCAAGGGTACATCGTCTCAGCTGAAAGAAAAGTAGGCTCGGCTGGGCAAACCAGGTTTAGAAGAGAAATTAACATAGGGGATTGTCCGAATATAGGGTAACGCGGATTGCTGCTCAAATGTATAAACATTTTGCCTGATGAAATTATCAAGACACATATCCTTCACGAAGAAACAAACATCTTCCGGGATTTGACTAGAGAAATAAGCAAAATATGTAACATTGTGGGTCGCCAAAAATTATATCGGTTTCCGTCATCAAGTAATATGAGTTAGGTCACATACTGCAGATGTGTGCCTTAGCTTTCGTCAAAATGCGACTGCGGGTTATAAAATTCTGATGGTAGTGACGACTCTGCCAATGATGATGATGATGATGATGATGATGATGATGATGATGATGATGATGATGATGATGATGATGATGATGATGATGATGATGATGATGATGATGATGATGATGATGATGATGATGATGATGATGATGATGATGATGATGATGAGAATAAGAAGAAGAAGAAGAAGAAGAAGAAGAAGAGGAAGAGGAAGAAGAAGAAGACGACGACGACGAAGAGTAAAAAGAAGAGGAAGAAGGCGTAGGATTGACCACAAGCGACGACGACTTGTTGACCATCAGAATCACTTTCAAACTAGTTTGGACTTCCAACTTGCTAAAGAAGTTCACCGTGAGAGGTGAAAACAGAAGCCAAGAAAATATCAATTAGTAGTCAACCTAACTAGTCAACGGTCAGTGTTTCGGCTCCAGAGGTGACTACGTAGGGCCGTATAAGCGGGCGTGGAATCAGTTCCCCCCCTACTGGGTTTCATCCGAGGCCCAGGATTCAATTAGCTCCTGATTCATCCTATTCCCAACCGCAACGGTTATCTCGACGACTGAGGACTCCAACTCATAACGCGCATTTCGGGCTGAAGCAGCTACTTTGAATGATTGGTAACACACTCGTTAGGCCAGTTTGTGTTCTTTTAGACGTTATCCCAGTTTTTATCCGCTCTGACCAATGCATCTCCAGGGGCAACTGGAGTTAAACTGGTCCTTGAAATGCATAGGTCAGCTGCGCATTGTAGCTCTGTGCAAGTGTATGGCCCAGTCTCTCCGCAATACGTTCAGACAGGAATGAAAGATTCTGTGTATATGGCATAGCATGCCAGACCTTTGACAGAGGTTTCTTAAATGGCATGCAAATTTTGTTGTGGGTTTGTGGATAAGCCTTCTGGCCATCACAGTGATTGAAAGGCAAAATTCGCCAAGTGCAGTCTTTAGTTCCTTGGTGCGCGTTCAAGTCTCTGACGCCAATCTGCAAAGAGTTTGAGCTAAACTGTGAAAATCTTCAAATCATTAGTTGGCTTCAAAGTCTTCAAACAATGCCCATTCAAATGTCTTTATGTTCCTTAGGAATTTTTGGTTACATGTTTCCTTCTTAACCTGTAATTAGGGGCTGCGTTAATCGCTTAGTATAAACTCTTGATGGAGATCGATCTTTTATAATGCCTTTCTTGCCGATTGGCCGTGGGGTTTTCCAATCCTCGTCGATGCTTTTGGAATAGAAGTCGGCTTATTGCAGTGAGAAATTCAGCCACGCAGGACTACACTTCGTATTCCGTCGTCGAGAACTGATATAAATATGGCGCTACAGGTTCGACGAAATTTTACTTAAGGTTTGGGAAAGTAGTCTGGAAATGAACTCATTCTACTAGCGTAATCGCAGTTGATGATCGATTTCGCCTTAGTATTTACACAGATATATGTACCAAAATGATCGGTAATACTTTTCTGGAAGGCAGTGATTGTGTGTTACAATAACTTCAGACACGCTGAGAGGGTTGGTTAAAAGACAAATGTTCTCCTACACACATAAGTACATAAGTTTGTCAATGGTATTGGGACAGGTGACCCCGTGGCTGTCTTATTGGTTCGTTCGCAGGATTCATTGATTGGTTTAAAAGCATCTGAAGCAAGTTTCATATCCAATACTTTTCCGAGGCCGGCCAACTGTGATAGCTCGTGAATGTAGAACACAAAGAATAGGGGCCTTAGAGACTTCAGGGGGGAAGGCTGGGAGAGGGACAACGAGGACAGTCGTTTTTCGTCGATCGGGAATTCGTTCTTCGCTGAGTATGGCTCTATGTGTTCATTATGACGTCTGGTCACGTAGTTGCCCCAATCGCTGGCATACAACCAAGATGCCAAGGAAATATTTAACAGTAGCCGACATAATCTGCCTACTGAAGTAAGTGACAGGTCAAAGACCTAACAATGTTAGGTTATGTAGGGATGCAGGGTACTATACTAACAGCACAAGTACTAGCTAAAAGCCCAGGCACCTGTTTGGCGGATATTCTGCCACAGCATGGTGCAGCTGCAAGGGCCTCGACTCCTCAGTGGGCCACCCAACATTCCCCGTGTGCTTTCAGTTTAGAAATTGTTACTCTTTTGTTTCCTCGAGGTAACAATAGTCTTTCATGTCACGATTCTCATGACGATTGTGAGTACGCAATCACTGAACTAAGTGTGGCAAATCACCCAGAGGGCTCAGCAGGCTGAAATATAATAAGGTCGACGCGACGTAAAAGATAAAATGACTGACCGGAATGTCCGAGGACTTATTACTGGATTACGGGATTGCGTCACGCAAGAGGTCAATCAGGGTAGCCCTTTACGTCAACCAAGACAGGTAAAGATAAAGTATGTGACCTGGATAGGATTACCATCAAGAAGTGCCTACAACGTTTACCAACGTAGGCGTCGTTCTGTAGAGTTTTTGGGCAGAATCCAGATACGCCCTTCAACGACTCTAAACCCGGCAGGATGATATTCTTTGAACTAAACCACCCCGAGGACACGGTGCTACAAAAAAGTGTCCGTCTAGACTCATTGTTCTGCTCTCCCACATGCGATTCTTTAGGAAAAGGCAACAGATGTGCCCGCGGTTAAGGGGAAGCAAGAGGCGTCCTTCTATGCATATTCTCACTGCCCAAGTCGCCGTCATGTCCGGGTGACCCAACGAAGAACACTACGGCACGACCTACTCCTTTACGTCTACATTGTGGCCCGTGTTGTTCAGTCCAACTCAAAGGCGCTACTATACTACGTCTACATGGGCCTATACCGCTCTGCCAGACGCGGGGCCTCCTCCTCCGAGGAGTCCTCTTTTAAGGCGGCTCCGGTAAGCTTCTATAAAATCCTATAACTCCTATTACCACCCTTCCCGTTAGATACGCTCCACTGGTTATCTTTTTCTGATCCCCGTCATATACTTTATCCTTGCCACCAGACATAAGTGAGAGTTTGTTCCGCTGTAATCTGTAGTGTAATTAAGATAAACTCGGCAGTTCCCCCCAAAATGTAGCAAGGCTCACGTGAGTTTTTGTTATATTTTCCTAACTTCCGTCCCAACGACTTGACACGCAAACGTTAATATGCGTTGTGGCTCTTTTATGCACTTCGCGTAAGTGAGGCAGCCGCCTGGTTGCGCCAAAGGCTTTAACGGAAACTTGTGTCACAAATTCTTTCGCGCCATTAAACGAACGTAAGACGCGTTGAGACTGGTTCCTGAATATGCAATTTTTGAACTACTTCCTTAGCTACAGAGATGTTTTTAATTACTTTGCACCTTACCCGAAGCCCACCAAGCCGCGCAAAAGGGGAGACAAACACTACTAACCACTCGACCCTGACTCAAGAGTGCAATTTTTGGTTAGGTTTAGTCCAGCAACCCCACTTGTTTGGCACCATATGATTAGCTAACTAGAACAATCAAAGTTAATATAGCCAACTTAGCCACTCGCTGGATTAGGAAGGGAAAGAGAGCACAAGCAGAGTTCGAAACAGGCGCAGGAAAGTGCGCGTGAACAGGCGCCTGGTGTAACCGAAGGTGGCGTATACGCACTTCCGGCGACACAGCCACTCGCTGGATGGGGAGGATAAGGAGGGCGCAATCACAACTGGGAGACCACAGACGGAACCGCGGATTAATTCGCAGTACATGGCCAGCCTAATGGAACCGACAGAGTTCCCCACCGTCCGAACAATGACATTAGCAAGCCAGCTTAGCCACTCTCTGGAATGAGATCATAAAGAGGACGCAAGCAGAGTTCGAAGCACGCGCAGGGAAGCGCGTGGGAACTGATACCTGGTGTTACCTAAGCTGGCGTATGAGCACTCCCCCGAGGCACAGTCACTCACTTGAGTAAAGTAGTAAGGGGGGGGGGGCAAGCACGTGATATATTTAAAGTCAGTGTGATCGCACCTACTAAAATTGTTTTAGTTAGTTAGCCATATGGTATCAGCCAGGTGGAGCTGCAGAACCAAATCTCGCTCCTATCGTTCCTATGAATGTTAAATGTCTGTTCGATAGTTGATGGTAGAAAGTTTGACCTAGAAATACATCTAGTAGTCTGTGCGTAGATCTTCCTTATTTATTCCATTCTGGAACTTCCCGGTCACCGGCTTCTCCTCAGCCCATGCATCACTGAGGCCTGTAGGGCATGCTTCACCGTGCCAGGTAACTTGAGTGGGGGAAGTCTATCCTGGTTTGTGTACTTCATCCGAGGAATTTTTCCCTGATTCTCAGACTAAACACCCGTGGATTTTTTCAGACATCGTAAAACGTCTTTCCTGATAGATGCTCAAGAGCTCCTTCCAAATATGGCCTCTATGACATTCCCGAATATGTTATATGAGCCGCCAAACCCTTTGCGTGAAAACCCGGTGTATTGTGCGGGTAGTGCGTGTAGCACGCACAGACGGGCTGCTCAGCTCTGTCAGCCACTTGTGCCCAATCTCCACACCAAATGCCTAGCCGTCTCGGACGGTGGACTGGTGCCTGGAAGGAGGGTTGGGAGAGTGAAGTTGACTCTGAGGACTCCGTCCCACGGCACTCGCTGCACATTCCTCACTATGAACAGCCTGACGCACTCTCAAACCATCACGGTGCGTTGAATGTTGTGGCGTTGAAGGCTGACAAATGATGGGATGACTCGGTCCCCTCTTAGGACGGAGAGTAAGGCTGCAATGGCTCCTTCTGAATGTGGCCCCTACTGTACTTCTTCTCAGACGGGGTCCGAGCGAAGCATCTCTTGTTTCTGTGAAAAGCTGGTCCAACCAGCGTGGATCAGGCTTGTGCGTTTAGCCTTGTTAACCACTGCGCCTAGTCTGTCTTGACATCGGACTCAGGGTGGTGAGTGAGGGTGGTGTGCAGTAGAGGCAGTGCAAGTTAACTGTCACTAACTGGTTCAAACGAAAGTCCTTTTTCCTGCGCCCGCCGTAAGGGGAGGCCCACAATGCTCCCCCTCTTATCCGGGGGTCATACCGCCACCCAATAAATCATCAGTGATTACTTGAAATTATCATTTGCTGTTGCGAAGTTTTAGTTATTATTCACCACTTACCATTCAAAAATCCATGAGACTGGTTTCGCCATAGTAAATTATAACTTTTATTTTTGTTTGAAAAAAGTACAATTTGAAAGCCTGATACCGTCTCAGACAAAAACACCTAAAAGAGGGTAGGCCGAATGTGCCTGTCTCTGCACCCTTCACTCCGACCGGTTTTCACTTGGGTTGAATGTCAGCGGCGCGGCAGGACTGGGGGCTTAACGAGCGCTCCTATTAACTTAGCGACCCGATTGTTAATCGGTCTGCATCAGAGCCAAGGCTGTCCCGGTTATGTGCGACAGAAGACCTTGTCGAAATTGGGAAAAAAAGATTAACAGTCGGTCGCTTTTTTTCCTACTCGCCAGACATGGATGGATTGAATGGACAGCGTCAGCTGCTAGAGCCCGTGCGCGCACTACTGTCAAGGCTCAGAGAGCATACATTATCAATAGATAAATAAGTATTTTGACAGTCTGTCTCATTCTGTCTTCTAAGTGTCTGCATATCTATACAATGGGCAGTGTAAGTGCCTAAAATTTTACCAAATTAACCAGCGGCCGCTGCTATGCCAACTTCCGTAATTAGGTCAAATGGAGGGGGAAGTTCATGCACAATCAGTTGTTTGTGTGGTTAGGACCAGGACACTGAAGAAACAAGCAGATAGCTGAGGCGGTGAGAAATGAAACAGTTTCAAAAATTACCAGTGCAAGTAAGCCTAGACCTAAGATGCCAGAGGAATTTTTCGATAAAATCTGGTCTGATAAATGCCACCACATGTACATCGACCGATATGCGCAACTGGTAAATTAGTGTGTCCACAATGTTTTTCGAAAAATGTGCTCTAACCTATCTTTAGACATTAAAGCCTCATAATATCCTGAGCTTCTCTATAAGGGTTTCTTTGTAATCGCCAGAATACTTTGTCTGCTTTAAGTAACATAGAATTTTGAAAATCAGTTAACACATTTTGATGCTATTCAGGCCCGTAAAAATGTAAGACAACTCTTAAAAAATTTGCGACCGGGCATGAAGAGTCACAAGTTCAGAAAACCATCACTATCGTCTGATGAGTCAGTGGATAAGTAATTGCGAATGAACCGAAGATTCTTCAAAATTAGGATTTAACAGAGGGAGGGGAGATAAGTTGGCTGAGCGTCAAGGTACAACATTACTGCCTACGGTTCCAGGAGGACAGTACGGCAAATGTTCCTATGTATTTTGCAGTTCTGTCCGCTATGCCTCAAAATAAACCTGTTGATCGGCTTCGTTAATCAAGAAGAACGTTCTGCTATACCTGAACTTGACTGAAAATACCATTTTTCAATACTTCGTCTCGCGGAAGTCAAGATGAAGCGTATAAATTCAAAATCCGATTCAAATTTACTGGGTTTTAGATGTCCCACGGGAGTAATTTTACCTCAGTACAAGGCTTTAGAAATTACTATCACCTCGGAATGAGTATGCTTATTCCAACCAATTAAAACACGTAGAACATGAGAATTGTTATAGCAATAATTCCAACTAACATGTCCGGCATTGGCAGATGGCGTTTGGCCGTCCCAGCGAGCGCTGACCATTTCACGCCTACTTTGTAACAGTTAGTAGAGCTTATTGGCAATAAAATGAGATAGATACTCCAGGTGATACTAACGCCTGCTCGTCAACTGATTAATCCAAACCGGTCAATGATGAGAAGAGCTGCACACAAAGCACATTGGGGCGGCTGGGAAAATTGAAGACCACTCATATTATCGACTAGACACGAGCCGTCGCCATGCTAAAAAAATCCACGTAAAACTTGCAGGCAAATCTACTCACTGAACGGCAACATAATGTGGCTGAATGATGCCGGTGGCAGCCGACAGGCCGCAGGCCCTTGGGTCGACTGATCAAAAATTGGATCTAGGGACTAAATGAACATGAGTTCAGCCTTCAGATATGCTCGACCCAGGATTGGAGCATGACTGACTGACGGCACCAGATCAGCCGGTAGAGGTCCTTCCAGTCTCCCTTATTGTTGCCCGTAAGACCTGTCGGTCACGTTGAAATGGATTCATCTAAACAGACAGATTCATCAGACTTAATAATCAAAGTGTCCACTTGACCTGTAGTCTTTGGGGGCCCAAAAGCCTTCTGTTAAGCATTGCCCTCTGATCATAATCGTCGTGATACTTCTAGCCACATCTCTGTTCTGCTCCATTACCTGTTCAGTCAATTTAACTGTTTAATACGTCCAATGGCATAGAAGTCACGATCGTCATTCGCGTATACTTTGACAGCGTGCGTGTGGCCTTGCCAGTGTGCATTCATCGCAACGCAAAACATCTCAGATCGTAGACATACAAAATTGCCCGTTGACTAGACTGTTGTTCATTACAACCTGACTGCCAAAAACAAAGAACCAACGAGAGGTTCAGATAAATGCCGGTGCTTGCCGACATTTTTGTTAAAAACGATGTATTGGTGTATGAACTGCTTAGATCGGCAGGTGGCACTCTGTCTTCATGCTTTTTTGAACTGTAGACTGCTGAAAAGGCTCTACTTGGATAATTTCGTTCACTACAACCGCAAAACTTTATTTTCAGAGTGCCATCCAAACGACCCTATCATCCCCGTTGAGTCTACCATTTCCAGCGGCTTGTTTGTCTCGTGTAATTCAGGGCCGCATCTGTGACTGATGGACTAGCCTACTGGAAAAGTGCAAGTCACCTGGCAGAGTAGTGCAATCTTTGGCTGGGCACGGGAATACGGACCCCTCCCCCACCCCCCTCGGCTCTGCAGCACGGACGACCTTACAATAAATCCCTCGGAGGTAGGGTTATTGTCACGGTAGGATTAGGGTTATGGGGATTAGTGTTAGGGTTGTGGTTAAGGCGAGGGTTACATTTAGGACACGGAAGTAGGTTACCCAGCTATTTAACGCGAGGCCACCAATGTTACGGGGGTTCAGATCCCCGTGTCCAATCCAACTTTGAAATAAATTTGATGTAGATCCTAACCGAGGGCCCCAAAAAAGTAAGAGTATGACGCTCGGAGCCAAAGAACGCTGGCAAGACAAAACGGCAACTGTCTGGTCAGGTATCACGTGTGGCCAATCGTCGGAGCACAGACTCGGCCTACTCAGGCCTTATCTAGTGTCCTCCAAGTGTATTAATAGTTAGAAAGACACGATTGTACGGCCGTGGCAACCGGCCTTGTCCATTGCCACCAGGTTGTGCATGTGCTGTGAGTGGAGAGTCTTGATCAGGGTAGGTCTCCAACGGTCGAACGACTGATGTTGCAGCTGGGGCAAAAAAGGACTTCTGCGGATGGATGAGGCCAAAGTGAACGTTTGGCAGGCATAATTGACTTAGGAGTGAAATTGTGTTGGACGTCGAAGTAGGCGCGGACCCTAATCCTGCAGCTGCTTCATCCATTCGAGTCACACACGCCGAAGGAGTAGTTGGGCCGGTGCGATTGCCTACTCGCTGGTTTCGTTCTGTGCTGTTCTTAGAAGTCCCTTCCCCTCAGCATACTACCAAAACCATGGCCTCCGCCGTTGAGCTGGAAACAAGGGCACCCCAGGGGCCACTGAAAACCCCGGATACCCGCCGACAGTGAAGAAGCGATGAATTGGACGTTGGTGGCATTGTCTTAAAATTGGGCTCCCGCGGCATCCCCGAGAGCGCTAAACTGGGAATATGCAAGGCCGTGCTGCTCACTAGGCGGCTCCATGGGATAGAAACTTAGGTCTACCGCCAGTCCCAAGCGAGGAACCTAAATCACTTTAACATCAGCTATCTTCGGAGGACCTTTAGGGTGAAGTTGTGGGGAGTGCGTCCCGGACACCAGATCCTGGAACAACTCATATGCCTGACGTCGTCGTAATCAAAGTTAGATTTGTTTCGTCTCCGCAATGCTGAAGCTATTTTAACTTCGATGGAGAAACTAGGTCGAGGAGATATCAAATAAGTCTTCCGAAGCGACTATTCTATACATATGTTGGTGCGACGCCCGCAACTGGGAACTCAAGCAGGGGCGCAAGAAGATCTTAGGACCTTTCCTCAAATTCCTTTAGACTAACCAGGACTCTTCGGAAAATCTCGCAGATGATTCACAGGCGTGGAGATTCATGAAAAAACGGAGCGCAGACCTTCGAAATCAACTGCAACCAAGGACGGAACGGAAGTGACAACGACGCACGACTGAAATAGCGGTTGGAGGCAAATTCGAAGCATACGCCAGATACCGGACAACAACCGAGCTTCATAAGGACCCTTGCGGTCTCCGGCTTGATTTTGTCAACTTTACCAAAACTAGACCAAAACCAGTACCCGACCAAAAGTTAGGTCCAGCGGAAACCATAATCCCCCGGGCCCACGAGGACACATATCTTCAATTGGTTGTTGGTCTGGAGGAATAGGCCGCCGGTTGTGCGCTCGCGCTCAGTCTCGGATAAGGTCGTCTTTGGGGTGTTAAAAATCGAGTGCAACTGAAAGAAAATGTATTCGAATGTGTCAGGAAAAGGCAGCAACAGTTTAAGGCAGAGCTATCCGAAGTGGCTGTATAAAAGTCAAGGCGAAACTGCAGTTGGTTCAATCAAACACAAAGATTGAGGGTAGGAATGTACCTTAAATTAGCGGAATGCGAATGCGAAGGTGGAGAGGCAATAAAGAGGGAATGGCGCCAAAAAGCAAGCCGTGCAGCAGGCAAAATGTCATTTGATTGCAGATAGAGAATAATCGTGAGGCCAAACAGCTTCATCGTGCACGTCGGACAGACGGCGTGGGCGAGCGCACTCGGTAGCACTAGGCGCACTCGGTAATTTCGTTAGCGTGACGCATCTGGTTGGGTTCAAGACCCGCTTGTGAAGGTTCATCTTGTTGTCCAGTGGTAGCTCCCTCCTCAGTAAGCTCATGCAAGTCATCCATTGGACTTCGTCCGCCCATCTCGTATTGGTAACGCGAGTAGATGGAGTACAGTAGTCGGAGGATGGCCTTGGAGTCGCCCAAGGCAATGTCCTCGGGTCGTTCCATCGGCTCCGGCAACTCGGCCGCTCGTATAAGGTCAAAGGCCAGGTTAATATTGCTCAGCCGCATGGCATCCGTGCTAGGCATGGGGTGATAGCAGTGAAGAGGAACAAAGTAGCCCTCCAGGAGGCCCATGAGCAGAATAAGGAGAACACCGTCCGAGAGCTGGATATGTGAGAAATGGGGAGAACAAAGATGATAATGCAAACGCCTACGTCCCGATGGCACAAGTATTCTGAGCCAAAAGCAGCAATTTGTCGACACTGTACCACCACCAGCACCACAACCAACTTGCAAGTGTTGTGGAACAATCGGTCTGTCCGCTCAAGCTGTGGAACTCGGGAGTACACTTGGGAATAAAAGTTTATGTGAGTACTCGGTGCTCCCCGATGTGTGGTTTTGGACAAATCAAGTTATATGAAAACAGGAATTCGGAGTACACAAGCGATGAGATTGTGTAGCACACATCAGACGAAACTCAAGCCGTATCAGCCACTACCTCTAATCTAGTCGTTAGTCGACGGCCAGTATCGAACAGGGCACTGGTGTATGGGGAATGAAGAGGGAATGAGGCCGACATGAGGTATGCTTCCTCAGGGACAATCACAGCATCCCTCATCACAATAAATCTGAGCTGTCATGCAGTAGCAGGATATCGGGGAAACACGCGTCTGGACTTTTAGCTGGTACCTGTGTTGTTAATACGGTAAACCAGGTAACAAGCGTTAAACTACTAGGACGCTCACAATTTTCCGACTAACAAGATAGTTCAATGTCCCATCGGATTGTGACTTGGATTGCAATGGCTTCTTCCTACTGAGACTGGTGTGGCACGGTGAGGTGGAATCGAGACCGCCCAACTCTGCTTCACTATAAACAAGCTCACGAGCAAGTCACCACTACTTCCACCTCCACGTAGTGGTGAATCTCATCGCGCGCGACGGTCGAACTATAAATGTACCGCCCCCTCCCAACCAGAGGCGAGAGAAGGGTTGTTTATAACCACGGAAATACTCGGCGAATCCAAGTTAATGAGGGTTTCCAAACGCAAGATTGATACCAAAGCGTCATTTCTGACACTAGATTCTGTCTGACAGTTTCGAGCCAGCGTTCCCGAGGAGCCTTACTTTACAGTCGGCAGTTATAAAATTGCAATAATGGAAAAAGGAAAGCGCATCGCTTGTTTATAGGGACTGTGGCAGTCTAAAAGCTTCCTGTTAGTAAACAGAAAGCAAGACTATCATCTAGCGGGGCAGGTTTTTTTCCCTTTCCCTTGTAGTTTTCTTATCTGTCAGTCGGCAGTTAGTTACAACAATCAGCTAAACGTGTGGAATAAAAATACTGTTTTGGGTCGCCGCTAAAGGCTGGGCATGATCTTAGATATTGCCATGCAGAGCATATTTGCAAATCGGGGTGATAACCACCAAAAAGCGAATGCCTTTGAGTTGCGGGAAAAGGTGAGTGGTCCAGTCGTCGCCAATGAGGCTCAAATCTGCCTGGAAAATAGGCTGTTTTATGCGCTGACTACGAAAACTAATTCGTAACAATGCCATAAAGGCCTAACGCGAAACCCCTACGCGGCAGCATGGTCTTCAGCCTTTACTTTTGAATTTCATTTGCCAACCTTGTGTGCATATACCCTAGGCCGTCCGAGCACGCGGACTTCATTCAGGCTGCATAGTTGCGGGGCAAACATTACAGAGAGCAATATGATGATCAGTCAGAATCTCATAACTGAAGCTTTGTAAAACACCACTTTACTTGCTCAAGAAGAGACCCCTGGTCTGCAGAAAAGTGTGCTGCGAAACGAATCCAGGATTCCACTATTTAAAAAAAACTCCTTTCATGAAACCAGATCACGATTGATAGTATGTTAAAAGATTGTGAGGCATCGCTGCAGAAGACACTTCGGACCAGTGAAGCCAGAATAACCTGTTATAAGTGGTTAGGATGATTTTTGGCTTTGGTGCGTAGCCAACTGAAGTATAAAAAGGCAAGTCCATTACTAAATGTGCTTACATCAGCAGAAAGATCCGTCACCCTCATCTGAAGTTTCTGCAACTGACTGTTGACGAACTGTGTCAGCAGCCTAGGGACAAGGTGACGATTTGGCAGAAAATCGAGCGGGTGCTGGTCAGGTTGTCCATCTGGAAAAAAATTGGTAAATTTACACTTGAACGAAAGCAGGATGAGCTTTGAAAGTCAGAAACAGGAGCGAAAGCATTCGTCAACCGCGACCAAAGAGTAAAAAGCCAGAAGCGAGGTCCCTGCCATGCCATCGAATGCCACGAGTCCATGACAAAGAGTATTATAGGTGGTCAGGGCTGAACAAAACAAACTTGAAAGCAAAGTCAGCTGAAGTGCGACTGGTCCCGGCAAGAAAAGTAGACGGTGTTCCAAGTAAACATTTTTATCCTAATTAGCATTCAAATGACAGACAGCATGAGAATGATATTTTGCAAAGAAGACACTTCAAAAACACCCTTCTGCATACTCGAAAGAATGAAAGCTGTCAGAAATTTCAATGCCAAAAATCAGCCGAAGGAGTTAAGGGGGATCATCAAAACAAAGCTTAAAATCGGAAACTGACCGACGGTTGAGGGCGAAGGATCAGTCAAATATTCCTGCTGGTAACGGTACTCTAATTTCCCGTTCATCTTTCTTACTATGATAACAACGAGGTGAACTCCATCAGCCAGCCGAATGCCTGCTTTAAAGTGTCTCGCGAGGGCAACCAGCAAACGAACGATAGCAATTATGTCCTTGTTATGGATTAGTTCCGCCGTCCACCTTTCAGAGGCCCACTCCTCCGAGACGCCTAGTAGTTGGTTGATTGTCACGACTACATCCTACAAGGCAAAATGGCATAATTGAATAAACTCAGACCCACGTACTTTGAGCTTTTGCATCTGGCCAAATTCTGACTGTGTGACCTCCGGATAATCTAATCTGATGCCAGCCAGTTTTTCAGCCAGGTTCTGCAGAATCTGCCCGTCATAAAAATCATCTGCAACGTTCCTGACAAGGATTCTGTGGTCAACCAGTTCATCGTTGATCCAAGAAATTAGAGCGCCTATGAGTTCCTTGACAGGGGCTGATTCCAGTGAGGTCTTCTCAATGATGGAGCGTTCCTGTCCCTCTTCCAGCATATAGTGTTCTGGGTCCTCAACAGCAAGGGAACAAAGGGCAGATTCCATCGCCTTCCGTCCCTCTCTGGCCAGCTCCTCCACCTCCTTTTTAGATTTTTTCTTCTTACGGAAGGTCTCTAACTTTGTAAGGAAGGAGTCATTGACAGAAGCCGGCGGATTCATGACGAGGGGTAGATGGAAACCTCGGAAATTAAAGAACTAGGTGGTCAATAACGCACACGTTAGGGCTCCCTTTGCATGATTTAGAGTGAGCACTGGGTGTCTTTGACATATATTGAGTGGAAAGCTCATAATCGTCATTGATTACATAAGCATTAATCCTAAGCAAGCACTCAGTGTAGCCGACTAGTAAGCAGCTGCGACCCCATCCAAGTATTTTCCGGATTTTACCCCTACAATGGCCAGCGCGGGGACCGGACTAGGGGATGGCAAGCGTTATCCAGGCTGAGAAGAGACCGCGCGTCTCATAACAAATGGCACACGTGGGTGTGGTGGCACACCTAGGTGCATGCTCGCGTCGCGCCAACCACTTGAGCCCAATCGCAGCATCAAATGATTGAAAGGCTCGGACAGCGGACTCGAGCATTGAAAAGTGAAGAGAGTGAGATCGACGATGGGGACTTCGTCCCCATGGAACTTCAGCTCATTGCTCCCCATAAATAATTTGAGGCGCTTACTAACTATCAGGGTACGCTAAAAATTGTGGCTTAGAAGGCTGCCAATTTACGGGATAACTCGATCCACCCATGGCTGAGAGTCAGGAAGTAATAGTTCTTTCTTAATGGCACTCAACTCAGATGGGATCCGAGCCGTCCTCCTGTTTCTGTGAAAGCCAGGTTGTGTATAACGCGTGCATGGAGTATTTGGTATTGTTAGAAACTGCGTCCGAGCCCGCCTCCGGGCGTCCTAACTATGTCTTGATACAGGGTCCATGAGGGTGGGGGAAGAGAGAGCGCGGCAGCTACCGCGAAAGTCTGTCATCACTTCGGATGGATTTCGCCTACTTCGAACTTAGAACAATTTTCATGATGAACATTACCTTAAGTTCCTTAATCTAAATCACTAAGCACAATCGAAGGGCAACTACATAGGTGATACGGAGAAGCATTTCGGCAAGACTTTCCCGAGTGGGAGGAAATAACAAGTGACTCCAAAAGTGGCAACATGTACGCAAAATAGGATCTTCAAACGTACAAATGCCTGGTTCATAAGGACTCGGATATTACAAACAACCGGAAGCCACTACCTTCGCGACAGCCTCGCCTAAATGGCTTAACATAAGAAATATGTAAGTTTGTAATAGCGAGGAAAAAATAAACTGTTAGGTCGCACAGTAGGTAAATAAGATAAGCGGTTCGATCTTCCACAAAAATCTTAAACTGAAGAAACGTCTACAACGAAACGGACATTATGTGTTAATCCGCTGGTTTGGGAACGGTGCGCTGGTAAGACAGAGCTAACCAAGCAGCATGATAATAATCAACAATGAATTTTACGCAGCTCAAGCAGGTAGGACGCGCGCTAAAAGACGGCGCTAGTTGTTGGCCAGCTAAACCCAAACGAGGTGCTGACCCGAAATTTCGCAGGTACGGCAGATAATACAAGCAATGGAGTACCGTGGACAATTGCCGATGACAAGATGAGTTTTCAATTACAACAGTCCACCGCCGGTGTTATGAAAATTCAGGCAGGGAAGTGCGTAGTGACAAGCGATATGGACATTGTGGCACTGAAACAGGCAGAAGAGTCTTAGACGGCATAAGTTCATCTCGGCCATTTACCTTTCTTCTGAAGATTCATAGGCAAACTAAAACAATATGTCGTTTACCGTTCCAAATAGCGTGTATTGGTAAAGTCTTTCACAAAGTAACTTTGAAGGAATCTGATAAGCCTCATAAAGGGTCAGAAGTACAGCATACGCAATATATTTCGATCACACAAAAGCTGGTAAGGGCCAACTCAACAGGAACGTGAGTCTCAAATGGGAGCTACGACTCTCGGTCGTCAAGGGAAGGTGGCAGTAGTAGTACAAAGTCCTCCCTCCGTATCAAGACTTCCATTAAAACTACGTACAGCATCCAGAAAAGACAACATTCCACGAGCTCCCAGCACTGAGGATATGGGCACTAGTTCTGGAAGAGCAGTCACTCCTGACCAACACTAGAAAACTGCTGTCGAAAAAAAAACATCAGCATGTGTCACAAGTTTCCGCAGCACCACCTTGAATACTGCTGCCGTGTCTCGGTCGTGTAAAGGATTGAGAGTTCAACAGCTGTGCTCGTCAGCTGGCTCCTTCATTTATTAAGTGCAGATAATCTATAAAGGACTAATCCGCCCGTCCTCCGACACAGGTGGCTTGGCGAGGATTTTACCAAGATACAGATCCATGCTTTCAATTCAGCTGTATCCAACACCTACCCGAACATCCTTGCTTCTTTTCCAAGCTTAGTACATAGTTGGCCTAATTTGTCCAACGGGCTACCAAACACGATCGTGTAGTTCTAGGCCACTCGACTCTGCATTATGCAGAAACGTACTTACTGACTCCACCGGGTATGTGGTGTAAGTTTGCCATACTACAAATGAGCGCCCTCCGTTATAATCAGTCGCTGACAGAGTTTCGGGCAAAGTTGATCTACTTGGCACCCCAGTTCCGCAGACCGTAAGCTGTAAAGCCGGGATGCGCTTGAGATCAACTCCCATCACGTTCACCCATGTCACGGGTTGGCGATATCGACGCCATCGCCAGCCAGAACCAGAGTCGGCTAAAATGACGTACCTGACGACTTCGCTTTTACATCGATACAACACATGGACAAGTCATCGCGATCGGTGAGCAAAGGGCACAGTAAACCGGTTCCGCTCCTGACCAACTGTACAATCGTCTGTTGAAAATGACCTGAGGCGAAGTCTGAGAATAACGCACAAGTACCATCGACACGACACCTCCAGACAATGTATATCTTCTGACTGCACGGGTCATGCCTCATCCCTACGCGGACGCCTAATTAACTCGCAACTCGGACTTCAGACTAGTCTCACGCCGACTGTAGGTTTCGACGGATTAAGACGGAATATCCCTGCGCCTGATATACTTGATGGCCAATTTCATCCTTGCCTTACCTGCTTGGCAGAAGGTTCGGCCAAAGACAGCAGAAACGTTTCGTTTGACGTCCACGGTGACCGGGCAGGGGTTGATGCGGCGCTCGATGTTTTTCGCACACCGTAATTCTGTCCTCACTAATGTTTTAAAAGGTTTCCTGTGTGCTCACGAAGACTACATTTATGAGTGCGCTGGATAAACAAATTATTCACATTTCTTTAAAAATTGACTGCCCCAATTGTTCAGAAAAATCACCTTATTTCAGTATGGTCTACTATATATATATATAAGGGTAATAGGCGATGCCATTGAAAACCATATTAAAAACAGTTTATAAAATACTCGGATTAAAATAAACGGAACAATATCAAGTCTCCAGTGATATACGCATTTTGCAGAATGTTATTGTCATAATGTGAAACAGAAACGCGGGCATCCTCAGGTGTCAATGATTCATGTATGTGCTTTTAGGGTTAAGGCCAGAGCCACTTGATTACCCCATTCATGCGTAGTAGAGATCGCAAATTTAATTATGTGCAGTCAGCACCAAATAAAGCCACGTGTAAAGTTTACGGAAACGCTCTACGTTGGACGTGAAGTGACGCATTACATAGGAAACTAAGTCAGGGGGTGAAGTTTATGGCTGGCCGTAAATGGTCCTCCAACGAGAATCGTTAGTTGTCACAAATCAAACAATTCAACCGCCTTTTGAATTCAACCATAGTATCCGAAGTCACTATTTCACTTGGGGATGAGTTCCACGGTCAAACTGTCCGAAGACTGGAATAAAAATTCTGCCGGTCTGGGCGCGTACGCTCCCGTTTGACCTTGTACGGCTGACCGCGCAGATGACTCATGTTTGTAAACTACTAGAGATCTTCGAATTTTAGCAAACAATAATGCCCCTGATAATGCGGTATTCCGCAACAGGTTTCAGCTCAATTGCCTATAGGATAGGGGAAACAAACCCAGTTTGGTCGGTCTTTGTGGATATGACACAGTTCTAAGACAGTCCACCAGTTTTTCCCTCGAGGGGCCAGGGGACGTTCTGGTAGGCAGTTGTAAGTCAATCAATTTCGACAGTTTAAATGGCTAATGGAAGTTAACGCCAATAATTCGTCAAGTTGTCCTTCACAACAATCCTCCGGCGATGAATACGGACCGGACATGACAAGTTGCTTTTCAGCTGCCTGAAAATGAGAAGGTAGCAATGGGACGTGATCAATCTACCCGGGTATAACAAATTTTCAAAGTCAACCACTCTTTATGTTGCCTGCCGTTGGATCTGTTTGATGTGATTGGTCCCCTTAATCATATAGGATGTTCAAACCCGTACTTTGTGTTCCATGTAGGATCTGAGAAATGTACAAAAGATAGGCACACACAAAAATATGACGAAATCCCTTCTAGTCACATGCCAATATGAAGTTTGTAGTTGTCAAAAGTTCATGACCCTTGTGTGTTTCTATAGTTCTTAGTGAAATATTACTGATATAGTAATGCTGAGTTGGGAAATAATCTCTATGTGGTAGTTATTTATTCGGATCATAGAAAAGCGCTTGATAAACGGCCACAGACGACCCTTAGTCAATCTGGAGGCTTCAGGAATTTTCAGCCCCTTTATTGACTTCATTAAGTCAGATCTATCCAATCCATAACAAAAGATTCTGCCAATGTTGCCATTCATTGATGTTTTGGCAGAGTTTGAATAATTCATATTGACCCAACTCTGAAAAACTCGGCGCCAAAACTCGACCCAAATGTGATTAAACTCGCGTCGTCCGGCGGGGCCTCGTAGCTCAGGTGGTTAGAGCGTTGGCTGCGATAAAGCCTTCCTCTTACTGCGTGGGTTCGAATCCCACCGAGGCGCCGAGTTTTTCACAGTTGGGTCACTATGAATGTTGTCATTGTCCACTGAAAGCCCTACCGTAGTCTCTGTCCTTCAAGATACTGTGCTTGGTCCTGTTATGTTTTCATTTCGCATTAATTATCTATCACTAGAAGTTACGCAAGCTGAATCCTTTAGATTTGCTGATGGTCTCTAAAGCATGTTTGCGTT